GAGAGTAGCTTGTAAAGTGAATTCTAGGAGGTTGTCTGCCCTTGGTCTTAAGTGTTTGTCAGGACCGAGGGGTTAGACCTTTCCTGGACCACGTGCAGTCAGATCAAGGGTCAAAGAAAGGGATATTGTGATCAGACATATGGAGGTCCCAAGATGGGGAGGAAAGACAGAGAAATTAGGAACACAGATAAGGCAAGCCACATGGCCACAGAAAGTCAGGTATGGAGGTGAACTGAGTCTGATTTCATAAGTCAAGGCCCCCGATGCCATAGAGCTGTCAGTAGGGAGGTATTTCTCAAAGGGAAGAGGGTTGATGAGACAAGTTCTTTTCTGAGGGGATCTACTGGGGCTTGACATGTGTGGTTATATCTTGTGACACCTCTACCTGACTCTCAGATGATAGAGAAGCAGCCCAGTGGAAGGGTCAAGGGCAATGACTCCCAGGTAGGCATCTAGCCTCTTACTAGCTGTTACTAGTACTACTTACTTGCTCCTTAGTTATGAGTAGGGGAGTTTCTTTGGCTCCTTTCACTGTTTAATGAGCATAGTAATATACTTACCATATATTGTTGCCTAAAGGAGAGAATTAAATGAGTTAATTCTTAGAAAGTACTTAGAACACTGGCTGGCACATGTCAAATACTCAAGAAATATTTTTACTACCTGTTTGTTACCTCTTTTAGGAAAATGAAATCTTTAGAGACATGGTTATCACTTGGAGGAAGTTGCTCTGTGAAAGAAATAACAGCAACATAGTTTTACAAGTGGCACCTTAGCATTTTAAAGAAACTTTCCCAACAATGCCATGGCACCATGGGTGAACTTGAGGACGGGTAGCTCAGTTCACAAAGACATTGGAAAGGTCTCCTGTAGGATGACAAAGCTAAGTGATGTCTTACAATCCAGGCCACTTTTCCTGAACACACTTTTTGCAAGAAGCAGAGTGGCGAAGGCTCTGGTTAATTTACAGGGATTTTACCATGACATGGGCTCAAGCAGTGAAACTCGTGGGACAAGAGTAAAGCCGTCCTCTGTCGGGCTGCATGGAGAAGAAGCCTGCCGCGTGTGAGAAGGATGTTGTGGCTGCAGCCTGGTTTGTGGGGGCACAGCAAGGTAAGGCTGTTTCAGACAGTGCTCAGCGTCACTGACTCCCTGCGGTTAGTGTGAAGGGAGCAAAGACAGCAGCGTTGGCCTGGAACCCCAGTGCTCAAGGTGCTGCTTTGAGCCCAGTGTGGCCTTTTTGGGGCTTTAAACTGCAGCCACAAGACTCTAGTGGCATCTCTTTCCTGATTTGTTTTAACACAGACTTAAAAACAATATTTCACTCTGTCCTTATGCTAAGAATCTTAGAGTGAATGAGCATGTAGACTTGTGTGTTTCAGGTGCAAAGAACCTTTGGTGATTCTTCTAGTAACAAAGGATGTCCTGCTAAGCTTGTGTCAGAGAACATGGCAGAACCCCTGGAGGCAGAAGGAGACAGTGAGGACACAAGGACTCAGATCGATTTGAGTATGGGAGACCAAGAGAACAACAGGTGCTGTGCTGACATTAACAGAGATGGGAAATTAGTGGGGGGACCTCTTCCCAGGAAATCTCAGAGATGGATGGGACCGTAAAGTCATTGAGCCAAATGACCCATTAACGCTTGTATCCCCTCTGCTTCCATTGTAGTCCTCCCCTAAGGAACTGGCCTGGACAGGATAATAACTCAGCAACTAGAGTATGGTAATGGGCTCCATATAAACTTAGTCAAAGCACTGTAAAGAAACGTGAGATGCCCATATGAAGAAGCCTATGCTGAAAGGCTTCTTTGGGGAGATGGATGGTAGGGAAGCAGAGCTTAAAAGTTGATTCAGTAGAGAGAGAATTGCAGTAGGAGCAGGAAAAGGGTAAAGTTCTGGGCTCCTGTTGTGGCTGCCAAGTTCCCTGCCACAACAGCAAATTTGATTCAATTTGCTTTGAACAAAACCCTCTGTCTTTATTTGTAAACACCCCACCCTGTGTTTGTGCTATCAGCTTTTTGAACCCAAGTTGAGTGAATTGCATAGAGGATAGCTTTGGGGGTTAATATTGGGTTCCCTGTCTGCCTATTATTTACCAGCTGTGTGACGTTGGACCAGTTATGTAATCTCTGAATGTCATTTTCATTATATGTAAATGACGATCTTACAAGTATCTGCCCCCCTGAGCTGTGAGAACCAAATGAGATAATGCCTATAAAGCTCTCCACACAGTGCCCGACTCATGGTGAACCCTCAGATGGCTACTACTGTCTACTGTTATCAATTATTAATATCTTAACCTTGTTTTTGGATCCTCTTTCTCTTATTAAACATAGTCTAATTAAAATTTATTTTAACATTGTGTCTACCTTGGTTACAATCTACCTGGATTCTACATCTGTCTCTGCATTTCTTTGTTGATGTTTTGTATGTGAGGTGGGTAAGACAAATGTGGTATTTCCGATAGCAAACAGTCCACTGAGGGGAAGACTTAATGAATAATTCATATGATGAAATTTTTGTGTGTGCTAAAGTCACTCCACTGGTTACAGATTCACTTATCTTTGCACTCAGTCTGTATTTGTTTACCTTGTTCCCAAGGATATCATGAAGATACGAGGAATAATCCTCTAAAATGCCACACTGGTAAACAGAGAAGAGCCACCAGGGTAGGCACTTCAGATCCATTTCGCAAATGCAGTAGCTGGAGGATGTGGTCATATTTGGTGCAGAAGCAGCGTCAGAATGATTTTAAGATGGCTGGACATTCCTTAGAGTTGTAAGACTTGAAAGGCCCTCAGGGAGATGACCACCTCATACATTCTCCCTTTCTCTGGGAGAATCTTGTGCAACCCCTGGTTTCACTAAGTTCCATTCCTTGCCTGTTGTAGGAACTGCAGTGGAAAATCTCCTTTTACATCTCCAGGTCATGCCAGTCACCACATCTATCCAATCCCGATGCTGATTAAGAGACTACGATGCAGTGGCGAAGACCCACCAGGGAGACCTTTTGTGAGGTGGTTGCTCACCTACTATTTAGTTGAGTCAATGGGCCTCAGGAGGGAGAGCCTGCAATTTCCTTATTTAGCCACATTGTGCAAGAACATTATTATATAGCAAGGAATGCTGTTGGTTCTGCTTTTGCTTTTTTCTGTTGTAATGTAATGTCGCCTTGTCTTGTTCAATCCTGAATGAAATGTGGCTTAGTGCACAGCCTGTGCTCTTGTCATGATATTTTACTTATTTGTACTCCATTTTCAGATATTCCTCTGCTCCTTTCCCTAGATTAACTAGAATTATCCAGTAATAACTAGCATTACATGTGAGTCAGCTAAGCAGAAATTTTGCAATCTCTGTCAGAGTTTCTTCTCCATCTCCCAAGCTTGCTGCGGGGTCGTCTGTGACCTTGAAGACAAGGGTTCTGGGAATGAAGCCCGTGAGAAGCAAATGTGGGGATGTGTCATTCTCTGGAGACAGAATATAATTCCCACTAACAATAGCAATTGTCTTTGGATGTTCATTGTTTTAGTGATCAATCTAAATGTGGTATTTCCATGCCTTTTGCACAAATATATCAACATAATTTAGAGCTGGCTGTGATTTTAGTCTTGGTTTTGGAGCATAGCAATAAAGAAAATTCACAAAATTCCTGACTTCATGGAATTTACAATCTAGTGGAGTGACAAACAAAAGAGTAAACATATAGTTTATCAGATGTTGACCAGTGCAATGGAAAAAGAAACTGTGGGTGAAATGTGTAGGGGTGGCGGGTTATTTCTGTTTTGTATTATGTGTTGAGGGAAAGCTTTACTGACTAAGTACCATTTAAAAAGACACCTGAAGGAAGTCAGAGGACCAGTCATATAGATATTTGGGAAAAGAAATCATTCAGGTCAGAAAAAGCAAGGGCAAAGGCCCTGAGGCAGGATTGTGCCTGGTGTATTCCAAGACCAACAAGGTGGATTTTTTGCTTAAACGAAGTGGGTAAGGGGGAGAATAGCAGGACATGAGATCAGAGAAGCAGCAAAGGGAAAGATCAAGGTGAGGACAGACTAGACTCTGCATGAGATGGGATGCTAATGAGGGTTGGTGCAAAGGATGACATGACTGACTTGCATTATGACAAGTTCCCTCTTCTGGCTTGGACAAGTTGAATTTTCAGTGACCATTAGCCATCCATGTGGTAATTAAGTGAATAATAAGAGAGAAGTTTGGATTTCAGGGGAAGAAGGGAATAGAAATTTCACCATTAGCCTCTATAAAATCCATAAAGTCATGGAAATGGATGAGTCATCCAGGGATTGAACATGGACAGAAGGCTGTGTGCTGGGGCCCTCCAACATTTAGAATAGAAGTTGAAGATCCCTCAAGAGAGCCTCAGAAAGAGCATCCAGGGAGGAGACCCAGAGAGGGCTTCATAGAAGACCAGCCACTGAGAATACGTTATTACTCACTTTAAAACAATGCTTATTTCTGGTACATATCACTGAATTTGTTGCTATTTTATACAAGTAAAGAGATACAGTTTTACATCTACTGATACAGGAAACATGTTCAATTAAGAAAGAGTTATGAATAGATGCCAGGAGCATGACTGTATTAGCAGCTGACAATGCAGCCTTCTCCTCAGTTAGTACGATGAACCTTGGAATTTTACTGCATGTAGAGCAAGAATTACTAAATGTACCTGGAAGTACTGCCCTGATGTGGAGCTCTGGGGTAATTTTCACTACATTTGCCTAATGGAGGTATTTCTCAGAGGGATTGTTCAGGACTCATGAGTGCATTTATTTTTGAACGTACTGTTCTGGTGCCTTCTATTTTCAGAATCCCTTCAAAATGCACTCCTTCTTACTTGGGATTTTTGCTCTGAAACTTAAGGTTTATTACAGAATATCCTCTGAGTTAAGGAAGGCCCTCTTTCCAGGGCCCATCATAACCTAGTAGGGGTCATTTCTATGTTTAAATAACAAATATGACAAACACCATGTTTATATTTTATGTTTGGAAGATTAGTTGCCAAGTTATTAAAATCATATTCTTGTCTTCATTTCTTTTCCTCTGTAAGTCTTGAAGGAGATCTCTCTCCATCACTTCCTTGTACATGCTCATTCCTTTGGAGAATTATTTTAATATCCTAAGAGAAGAGATTCAAAGAGAAGTTGTAAACATTAATGAATGATTTAGGATTAATGATCATCTAATAGATGGCAGTGATTAAACAGTAAGTTGTTTTTAGTTTTTTCTCCTTTGAGAGTATTGTTCTCTATTAGTTTGAATCCTGCCCTGCATCTTACTAGTTTTACCCTTAGAAAGCTATGAAAGATCTAGGAGCCTGTTTCCTCATCTAATAATGGAGTTGTCATAATTTGTAAAAACAGTTACACAGAGTTTGGCACGTAATAGGTAATCCAAAAGATTATTTCCCTACTAATGAATAAAAAACAGTATTCACCTTCTATTCATGGAAGATGCCAAATTAATCATGTCTATAGATTTGTAGAATTTTAGAACAGTGGATTATTTGGCAGAGGGGATGGTCTCATTTCTCCCAAGTTTTTTAATTTATTTTTTAATATCAGGAATAGAGGGATCTATTTTTTGTCCACTAAAAATAACCAGATATCTTAGACTTTAAATCTCAGTTATCTTACAAGTAAATTTAAAATACTCACACAATGTTAAAGGGATATGAACACATGGGAAATGCATAGAATTATATTTATGCAGTTCCATTTTCTTCCCACACATTTAGGGAAGTGTTTTAAGAATACAAGTTTTTTTCTTCAGAGCTAGGCTCCAAGGTTTCCATTTGACTGAGTCATTTTACTCATAAACATGAGTTAGTTTGCTATCTGAGTTGACTTTTGCTGAGTGATACGCACATTCCTTATATCCATCACTGTCAGGAATCATAATGAATCATTTTCTTGATGGACCTTTTCTTTGAAAATACAGATCTCTTACAGCCAAAGGTCAATCTTGAGCAAACTGGGTGACAAAGAACAGCTGCTCACCATTGACCTTTCTGGTCCTACCTAACATAATTCTTGATAACATGTCTCTTTTGAATAGTATATTTATAAGAACCAATGCTGACGATTGGATGCTAACTTGGGGATTAAAGAATGAACTGACATGTGATTATTTGACACTCCATAGCATGGGGAAAATGATAAGCTCCAGGTATTTAAGCCAGCCCTTGTTAAATCAAGGGGCATAATTTTCAGTACAATTAACAGAGAAAAGCCTCAGAGAGTCTGGAAATGTTTGACATGGGTATTTTGAAAATGCAAAGCTCTGAAACAGTCATAATATTTTATTATAAAGATAAGGGAAGTTAAAGCATATTTTAAAGTCAGATATCTTGAAGAACAAAGTGAGATGAAATTCCCTCCAAGTCACATGTGTATTTATAGGCATTTTGTCCTCATATAACTGGACCCTGGCTCATTCATTTATAAGACATTCTCCTCTGACATTCTGATTTTAAAACTAAAAGATTTATTGTGATCTCTTATTGAATGGAAACCTTAATTTAAGGATATGTGCTCAATTTATAGGTTTGCTAAAAGAAACTTACACTTATTCAGCATGTGCTCATTATAAGAAACTATATTTATGAGGTTGGCATAGAAAATCAAGTGTTCACTTGCATTTGTAGATACATTTGTCATAGGAAATTAGCTGACTTTACTAACAACCCAGTTACAGTATTCTCGTTGATCTTGTTAACATTTAACCAAAGCATTTTTTAAAATAATTTAGGAACATTAATTGAAAATAACCTCTTTGTATAAGCTTTATGTAAGTTGAATTTAACTCAGTGACTTTAATAAAATAGCTATAAAATCTAACACAAAATATGGATCTTCCACGTAGGAATTGGCACATGGAGTTTCCTGGGACTCCATTTTAGACCCTTCGTCATCATGGCTGGGACCAGGGAAAGCCAACTTTGTTTCCCAAGAGCAGACACTGAATTCAGGAAATGAAATGGCAGCTTTGATGTCTGTCCATATGTACTTTCACATGGCTCAGAAATTTTTCCTTGCATTGCAACTACTAACAAACCAGTAATAGTGATAGTTATAATCATAGTGTCTAGCATGTATTGAGTGCTTTCTATCTGCCAAGCACTGAACTAAGTGCTTGGTGTGTAAGTTAGTTCATCCATAGAGGGACCCTGTGCATATGTATGATAGGCCTACTTTACAGATGGAGAGAGTAAGGCACCATGAGGTCACTTGTCCAAGGTCATGTTTGAACCCATTTGGTGTGAGCCCATTCACTGTGGCTCCTGAGCCTGCTCCCCTGGCCACAAAGCCAAGACACCTCTCAACAGGAGCAAAAGTAAAACATATAAAAATAATTATGCATACTCGGTTGTTTTCAAATATGTATTTTTTTAATGTTGCTGCTTCCAAACATGAACCTTGTAAACACAGAACTGTCAGGCAACAACCTTCACTTCCCACTGTTTATAACAGCAAACAACATTTTAACCTGAAAAACCACATTCTAGCTTTTGCTCTACTTATCTAGAAAGATCTTTAAATAACATCACTGTGGTTTAAGTTCATTTTAAAATGTGATCTATTTACTTGTACATGGATACCTGGAGCAAAAAATGATGACAGGATGAGTCTTAATGGTAACCGAGTTTTCAGAGATTCCCCCCCACCCCTTCTTTCTTTTTTTTTTTTTCTTTTTTGAGAATAGAGCCCCTTACTGGAAAAAAAAAAAAACCAAACTTCTTTTGTTTTAGAACATCTGAATGTAGGCTTTTCAGGTCCTAGGTTCAGCTCTCCTTGACTCACAGTAACATGAGTGAGTTCCTGTTACAGCTGCCCATGGTCCTCTGTGGTTCCTCCGCGGCGCCTCAGGGAGGAGAGGAGAGGAGGTAAGGGGCCAGGAGAGCAAGAGTGGAAGAAGGTGACTCAGTAGAAGCACTCCGGCAACAAAGGAACAAACCAACTACCAATGGACAGACTGACTGACTGGCAGACAGACAGAGTCCCCTTCTGCTGTTGGAGTGTCAGGCCATCCGGCTATGCGAGACTTGTTCCCTGGAGGTCAGAAACCCTCCAGCTGGGTTGCTCACAGCCAGAAGAGTCCTGTGCAACTGGGAAGATTTGGGGAATGTGCAGAGGCAGGCTTGGGGGTCAATGTCATGGTCCTCTGGGAATATAGTGGGTAGTGGCCCAGGATGTTAGGCATCCTGATACACTGGAGACAGTCATGCAACAAAGAACCACGGTGTTCAAAATACCAGTGGCATTTCAGCTAAGGTGCACTGCAAACTGATGAAACTCCTTCCAGAATGAGGGAAAAGCAGAAATTTTAAAAAGCCCTGTGGATTCCAGTTTTCCTTGGGAGTCAGAACACCTCTTCAGGGGCGCGATTCTCGAAGGCCGTCATCGGTTGGCTCTTTTCTTTTCTCTTGAAAATGCTAAATAGAATCTTGTCTGTAAGTTAATCATATTTCATTATTCTGGATGTTCCCAAATTATCCTGACTTTGTAGGGAGTTCTCCCACTAGGGGAGAAGACTACTGTGGCATCATTTTATGTTCCTATGTATACTTGATAATGTAAGCTAAATCTTATTATACATAATTACAAGGGATTTTGAAAATCATTTTATTGGTTCAAAATAAGAGGACTGTTCCATGAAACATGGGGCAGACATGTAGGAAAGTATGCAGTCAGAAGTGATGGGCTTTGGGAACCTACCTGATATAGTATGGCTTTTGCTGAAATGAAGACAAAAGCGGGTCACATCCTCAGGGCTGCTGACTCCCCATCCTGCACTTGACACTGACTCATTGTCCTCTCTCCACCCCTTGTCTGGGCCTGAGGGGCACTGACCTCACTAATTCTAGGGTCACACTGACTCAGGCCCTCCTCAGCCTAAATAGTGAAGAAAACTGGTCTTTATTAATGAAAACATGAAACCTAAGATACTGAAAAGGGACATGCAACACATTGGTTTCAATGCAAACAACAAATGTTTGTGGAATGTATGAGAATAACAACTTGGAACAATAGTCTATACCATGTTTATAAAACTTGGAAGCCTATTTAAATAAAGAGATATAAGTAACTTTTAAAAAGAGCTTTGTTAAATGTACAGACATAATATGACATGGTTAAGAGGCAAGGAAACACTTAGGGATGAAGAAATTAATTTCACATCAGGCCCCTGCTCAGAAGCCTATCCATAAACCATTGCTTTTCACATGGAACCCAAATTCCTGTGTGACATCTAGAATCTTCACAATCTGGCCTGATCTTCTCCACTGGATGGGGTCACTCTAAGCCCTGCACAGACCACTCTTCAACCTCTGGGCCCCACTCCTCCATACAGTCCTGCTTCCATGCCTTTGCCCAGGCCCCGCCTTTCACCTGGGACACTGCCCTCTCTCCATTTCAAAACCAAAATACTTGCAGACCTCTCCTCTCCCTCCACCCTGCCCATCTTTGAAGACTCAGTTTCTAGAACAAAAGAGGCTCTTTTGAATTCCTCTAACTGTGTGCTTGGGTAGTTTGCCTTCTATCATTTTCTTACAGTTCTTGAATGTAAAAATCCCTGGCAAACAGAAGTGGGATTTGCTTGAGGTCAGCACCTGAGTTTGGGATTCACTTTTCTGTCTCCCATGAACCTTCCACTACCAGCCTCAGTAAGAACTTGGTATTGAAGAGTAATCATAACAGCCATCAGTTCTGTAGTACTTGCCGTGTGTCAGGTACCATGCCAAGTGCTTTATGTGCAGGATCTCAGTTAATCCTCACCACAACCCATTGAATAGGAACGGCTGTTACTCCCATTTGACAGATGAGAAAGTCAGGATTGAGAGAAGTAAAGGTCGGGTGCCTAGGGAGCAGCAGCCCTGAGCTTCAGTCTCGTGACGCTCTGATTCCAGAGCCCTTGTCCTTCCCTGCTATCATCATGCTTCATTGCTGGGAGAGCTTAGTGTCTGCTGGCTTGTTAGAAGTCAGTTTCAGTCATGACCAATTTCAGTCATTTTAAACTTATATTAAAAAGAGGATCAGAAATTCAGAACAAATAAATTTAGGCACAAATATATTTCAGTCTAGACAGTCTCATTTCTGGTCATCAGAGGTTATCACTGAGAATTAGGAGAAATACACCTTAGACCACTTTCATTTTATCAAAGTAAAAGTGCCCAGCAAACCCACTGTAGTCCAAAAAACTTGCAGAAGCCAAACGGGGGGACTCGATGCTGCTGAACAGGGGTGGAGAGGGTTAGAGCAACTCTGCACACCCTGCGGGGCTCGGCCTCCGCCTGCTGTCGCCCCTGCCGCTGGAGACGCCGGCTGGCTGTAGTGGATGCATGCTAGCACCTGCAGGTGGGGCTGGCTTGGGAACCATGCGGGCTCTTGAGTGTAGTTTCACCTTTCTTCCTTCCTTCCTTTTGCTGGGTTGGCCCAGTTTCTATGGGTTTTGTCCTCAGTTTTCCCATATTGCACACTGTTTCCCTGATTTTCTGTATATATTGTCACTGTCTGCACTATGTAGACTATGTGACCGTGACTAGAGGACAATGAACTATGTTAGCACTTATCTGCGGATCATTGTCTCCTTAGTTCCCTTTGGCAAGGGAGGATTCTATTCTCTATACTCTTCAGTTACAAGCTAGAGCCATTAGATGGCTAGAATGATCCAGAACAGCAATACTGCTACCCACCTAGCTTTAACTATCATCTACCTCCAGTCTTCTGTTGAAAATACAAGGTAGCCCCATAGTCCTGATGAAGCTGCTCCACAGAACTCATAGTAACATCAACAGTATTCTTTCTGTACCTCCCACAGTGCTGACGGTACCCATCCTGGTGCTGAGAGTACCATATCTAGTGCTGACGGTACCCATCCCAATGCTGATGGTACCCCATCCCGGTGCTGATGGTACCCATCCCGGTGCTGATGGTACCCATTCCCAGTGCTGACGGTACCCATCCTGGTGCTGACAGTACACTTCCCCAGTGCTGACAGCACCATCCCAATGCTGACAGTAACCATCTGGTGCTGTACATCTGGCAGTACCATTCCTAGTGCTGACGGTACCCATCCCTGTGCTGATGGTACCATCCCCAGTGCTGATGGTACCCATCCCAAAGCTGATGGTACCCATCCTGGTGCGGATGGTACCATCCCCAGTGCTGACAGTACCCATCCCAAAGCTGACGGTACCCATCCCCAGTGCTGACAGTACCCATCCCCGTGCTGACGGTACCCATCCCCGTGCTGATGGTACCATCCCCAGTGCTGACGGTACCCATCCCCATGCTGATGGTACCATCCCCAGTGCTGATGGTACCCATCCCAAAGCTGACAGTACCCATCCCCAGTGCTAACGGTACCCATCCCAATGCTGACGGTACCCATCCCAGTGCTGATGGTACCATCCCTAGTACTGACAGTACCCATCCTGGTGCTGACAGTATCATCCCCAGTGCTGATGGTACCAATCCCAGTGCTGATGGTACCATCTGAGTCCTGATAATTATCTCTATTGTGCCTGACTTTGCTGCCCTTTGGGAACTGTGTGCTGACCTTTCTGACCTGAAGCTATTAGTGGCTTGGCTTTTCTTGACCCTGTTCTGGCAAGTCTGGCTTCTTACCCCTCTCTGCTAGTCTAGAGTGGAGATGTGCTACCATGCCCTGAATCTGAGCTCAACCGAATTAAGACACCTTTAGGTAATACTCACAGGAATTTTGTAGTCTGAATAACTTGAAATCAGGTCTTGAATAAAAGGATGCTTCAAAAGAACAGCAAGTTCAATTGGCTCCAGATTCTTGGCACCTAGTTCCTGAAATACTTTTATGAAGCTCTTTAAAGAAGAGAAAAATGAAGTTAATTAACTTTACAATCCTTCAGATGTTAGAAAATGCATTTAATAAAGCAATTAGCCAGAATTTACATAATGATACATTTTGAGAGCAATTCCTTGAAAACACATTAAAAATTGAGGGCAACTTTTCTTATATACAGGTTACCCCTTTTACAAAATAATCTAACCAACCTCTGAGTAAATGTTCTGTGTCTTTAGGTGGCTGGCAAATCGGTTGGTGTCCTGTGCTTCTTTTCCTCCTCGGAACACTTTGAATAGTGTTTCCATGGAAATCTTTTCAGTGTTTGCATTTTTGGGGATTTCTTCTTTTTCCTCCCTTTTCTCTCTTAATTTCCTTTCCTCACTCATAAAATTTTCCTGAAGTTCAGGATATTCCTCAATTGGACTCATATTAGTAAAGGAAGAAGTCTGCACAATTAAATGAAGAGAACATGAGGGCAGGTCTCTCCAGTAATAGAGACATTTTAAAAACATCAATTTTGTCACATACTTTTTATGCAATGGAATGATAGTGTGTACCACAAACTAGCTAAACACAGTCTAGAAGAGAATATGATAGCTGCAAAAATCCAAGACCAGTTCTGCTGGTAGTTTACTGAGGCTTCAGTATGGGGTATATCTTGTTCATCTCCATACATGCTTCAGCTTACTGCATGGCCAGGTACATAGTCTTCAATAGACAGATCCTGGAATGAATTAGTGTAGCATGTAATTGTGCACATGAATGCAGGTTGTTAACAGGATTTGTTCTGAAAATTGACTGCAGTTGAGAGGTTGTGGCAAATTAACCTCTCACGCTTGATAGATTCTAGGAGCTTCATAAACATTTATTTGGATACTGGAGGTTAAATCCTACTAAATATTCAGAAGGCAAAATAGAAAACAACTTGCACATGGAAAGTTAGGTTGAAAGTCTTACTGCTGCTCTTTGAACTTAGCCAAGGGCCATGAACTCAGGCCCTGGCATTTTGAATATAGTACAGAGTACATTGTTTCTGAAGCAATTTCTTATGTATCAAACACCCGAAAAAAATTCCTATCCTTTGACCCAGTAATTATAGATCTAGGAGTTGATTCTAAAGAAATATTCATGTGCACAAAGAATTTTGCATATGGGTGGTCATTCAGTGTTACAGCAAACAGAAAACCTGTGGTTCCCCAAACGGGGGAATCATGATATAAATTATGCTGGATCTCTGTGTAGAAAACTATACTGGCCTAAGAATTATCATTTAGAAGAGTATCTAGTGACATGAGAAAAACTCATAGATTAAGTACACTGAGAAAACAGAACAAAGTTAAATACACTAGGATTCTCATTTTTTAAAATGTATCTCTAATTATTAGTGAAAAAAGAGATACATTAAGGAGTTAACAATGGTTACCTCTGGGTAGTAGAACAGGTGATTTCTTTTTCATTTTGTCTTGCACTTTCCAAATCCTTCACAGATTGACATTTATTGTATTTACTGTAGTAAGTGTGCATATGTGTATGTGTTTCTGATGATGAGGCAATCAGTATTTAAGGATTTGCTATAGAAAAATAGGTATTTTCAGAATGTTGACTGGCCTTAGGTCAGAGAACACCTGAGTGCTGATTCTCCTTCACCCCAAGGAAGAAAAAAATGCTAATTTAGGCTTAAAATAAGAGGTGAGTGCCAATGTCTGTGAATATTCAAATCAGTGCAAATTCTTTCCAAATAGTCATGTAAGTCCCTTGTATAAAAGAATTGTGACCCAGCACAGAATTAAGCTTCTAGGAGTAGTAAGTGCATGCAAGGGATTTGCAGGGGCTGTGGGCAGTGTAATAAAGACAGATTGCATTTGCTCTAGCTCTGTGTGGGCTGGGTTTCTATATCCTTTGGTAAATTGGGAATTCAATGTAATCTGAGAGAAAGAGAGAGAATGTTGTGTCAGGTAAAGGTTTTTGGAATTAAGTATAAATCTCTCTCTCTGCCTATCTATCTATCTATCTATCTATCTATCTATCTATCTATCTATCTATATCTATCTACCTACCTGCCTATCCAGGTTCTTCTCCATTTTAAATGACTGAAATGCTACATGGCAGAAATGTTTCCACCTAGGAAACTTGGGGATGATCACATTGGCTACTTGTCAATAATTTCCCAGGGCAATAGGACATTTAGTAGAAAGAAATGAACATGGTCAAGCTGTAAAACATCTTGCTGAGTGAGTGGAGGATGAATGAATTTCTATTCAGAGTGCAGCATATGTGCTGTGTGAACAAGATAAAGAGAAACTGTGAGGAGCAAATGACTGGTTGGGTTAGATGAGCAGGTGATACCAAAATGAAACAGAAAAGGAAACTGGTCTCTCTAGACTATTTACACAATCAGAGGAGGACTAGTTTTCAAAGGCCCACCATCATGGAATAAATGAATTTTCAATTTTAGCTAAAGGTAACAATTTAAACATTTAAAATTTTAGTTGAAGTTTTAGTGAAGAATCCTTAACTTACTAATGTCAAAGGATGCTTTTAAAAAGTTTGCTAATTTTGCTCTCTCAGGGGTTGGGACAGAATAGACTTAGTGATTCAGTGGGAGTGAAGTTGAGATGGGGCCCAATGGCCTGGCTCAGCATCCCGGTGGGATTGCAGGATGTGCAAGAAAAAGTCACTCTCACCACAGACATCTCTGCAAGACCATGATTTGGGATGTGGGTGTATGAACAAAACCAGGGGTGCCATTTTGGAGTAAAGCCAGTGCTTCTGGATGAGCAATTACTAGTGACATAAAAGCTCTGTGTGAGTCACATTACCAGCTAAGCAGCGGGACAGACTGTGGCTCTCGCAAACACTATGTCACAGTCAGCTAACTCTCAGAGGCTAACAGACTCCCGACAAATGTGTCCCTGGAAGGGTGCCTGGCAATGCATTTTTCTCATTTAATCAAAGGCCCACATCTCAGAAGCAGAACACGTCAGTCCTTGGGACAAATGTGAGCAAAGTGTTAAGGAACAGAATGGAATGAAAATTTATGTGTTTCGAACCCCAGGGCCTCAAACACTCTACTGAGATGCTTTAACAAGGCTTTCAAAATGGGAGATTCAAGCTCCCAATTTACTGAATTCTAACATCATAACCCCATACCACACAGGCCAGAATAAATCATTTTCCAAAATTTCACCTTATCTAAGGCTTCCCTAGGGCTAGTGCATACTCATGAATACTTTGCTCTTGAGTTTCTTTTAAATTACCCAAGAAGCTGTGTAAATAGAAAGTCTGAGCCACATTGAATAAAACAACATGAGTCACAGAAACAGGATAAAGAACAATGACAAAATAGGGAGATTTCCAGTTGTTTATGTGGGAAGCAAAAGCAGAGATCTGAGTACATGTCTTGAGAGGAGCTCTGGATTTGTCAGAGGTGTTATTTCTGCGCAGGCTCATCCTGGCTTCCTGGGACGAGGTTGCCCCGGAAACGAGAACACAGTTGGAAAGGCCACAGAAATGGAGCAGCATAATTACAGGCAGGATTGTGAGGAGAAGGGGCAAGAATGAGGGAAGTGGGTAGAGACTGCATTTCAAAAACCCCAGAATTTACTGCAAGCCAGGCAGTGTGTGACAGACATGCACTCTGTCCCCTGCCCCTCACCCTGCTTTCACCTCTGTTGGGCAGAGGTCATGGGTCATTTCCTGTGCTGCGTCCTAGGACTTGAGAAGAGTTCTTGAGAGAAAGGGAGCTCCTTCCTGGGTGGGGCCACTAGGTTACAGCAAGGAGTGGTTTAGGGACAAAAGGGATAGAGCTCCTTCCTGTGCTAGCTGGCCTGGCTTCTACCTACCCAGGCAGTTGTCTATTGCTATAGCAACAATTCTAGCACCTGCTTCCTTTTTCCTGGTCTTTCTGCTCACCACAGCCTCCTGGATTCTGCTATTGCCTTTTCCTGGAACATCTACTCTCCTCCTCTCTATTTGGGAAAAGCTGGATTCCATTCTTCCCTCTCTCTCCCTCTCTTCCTTACCATCATGTTCATGAACATTCATTGAACACTTGCTATGTGGCAGCTACTTTGGGGAACATAGAAATGGGTAAATGTTGTCGTCAACTCAGGGTGGAAATAACTTAGCTAAACAAATCCCTACCTGAATTACTAGGTCCCCTTACTTTCCTCCTCTGCCACCCTCCCCTCCCCATGTATTCTCTGCACAGCAGCAGAGATCCCCATCCACTTTAAGTCAGACGGCCAGATTCCAGTGACTTTGCATCTCCTCTCTTGGCAGAGTCAAAGTCAAGGCCCTATGGTTGGCCCTCCAATGACAGAGGCTGACCTACTGCTTCTTGGAATACACCAGGCTCGACCCCACTGGAGGGCTTTTGCATTCAGTGTTATCTTCACATAAAACGCTCCTCCCCAAGAGATCTGAAAGGCTCTCTCCCTTGCCTTTTTGAGGCTTCTGGTTACATGCCTCTTCACAGAAAGACCTTCTCTGACCTCCAAATTTAACAATGCACCCTCACAACAATGCCTATATTTTTCCCTATACTCTTTTTTTCCCTGCAGCATTTATTACCATTTAATGTGGCCTGTATTTTACTTATCTTATTCCCAGGTCAAAGATGGTTCCAAGCACACACAGAGGCTGGATAAATATTCATTGAATAAATGCATGTATGCATGCAATGGCACTCAGCCCTCCTAAAAGGTGGCTGAATATAAAGGGAGCCCTTTGGAGAGAGCTCAGTGTTTCTCCTGGGTGTCAGGGGAAGCTTCAGGAGTGATCTGGCAGTTGAAATAGGCCTTGGATCCTGGGGACGGCTTGGACCCTTCATGATGGGATGAAGGACCAGGCGGAGGGAAGAGCAAGAGCAAAGATAGGGACGTGGGGAAGAAGAGGGCAGAAACCTCTCTGCTGACTGGAGAGACCCCCATGTTAGTCTTTCCTTTACTCTGTAGTCCTTCTAGGTTTGGCACATTATGTCTCATTCTTTCCTGTGTGGATGGGGGCAATTAGATGGAGTCATTTCAAGGGAGCACATTTGTCTTCTGCTGTATCACTTGCAGATCACGGGGCCATGCCAAGGGCATGATTTACAAGGGTAATTAATTAATTAATTACTCAATCCACTCAAATATTTAATTTCATGAGCTCCATTCCAGTAATTCAGGCTCAGGGATAGAGAATAAAACAGATGGCCCCTCCCTACACACAGGATGTTTAGAATCTAGAAAGGAAGTGTGCCCTGAGAGGGGTATCATGAAGGGACGTGCACGGCATGTTACGGGAACATGCAGCAGCAGGGTGGCGGGTATCTGACATTACTTGAGGTCAGGGAAGGTCTCCTGGATGACACATTTAATTGAAACCTCATGGCAGACTATGAGCCAGGCCTGAGTTAACTTAAGGAGGCCCAGTGTATAGGGGGATGCATCTGCTACTTTCCCAGGGGAAGCATACCATATCTAATTCCTTATTTATCTGGGAAAATTTAAACTGGCCTTGTACTGTCTAAAAGGACAGCATTCTTGAGTGAAATAAACAGTCCTTGCTGAACTTTCTGTTGCTGTGTAAGTACTGAAGCAGAGTCTACAGCACATTGAGGTGAAGAGGCCCAAGTCATCAGCTTGCTAGGCATCTGTCTGGCCTTACTCTGGCCCTATGGAAAGGGGAGGACATCTCTGGTCCATCTGCTCAGGGCCAAAATTTGGTGTTGCATCTAAGAGAATCTATTTCTTTCTGGATGTGAAAGCTGTCATAGGAACTTGCAATTTTTGTTTGTTTTTTTCCAGAGGACCCAGGATACTCTATTTTGACAAACACATATGAAAGAAAAAAAAGCTAGGACATCTAAAGAGTTTGCCGTGGGCATCCCTCTCTGCTCTGTGTTTACAAAGGAAGATAGAAATAAAAGCATTCTATCACAAGGCCACAGCTCTGTCCCCAAAAGATCAGGGGAAGACTTAAAAGTCATGCAAATGGGCACCTAGTAAGTACACCACTTAGAAACCTGTTCTCATGCCTTTCCACTCCAAAATGCCAGAGAATGTCAACCCTTTAGAAATGTAAAGAAGATATGAGGTTTTATTAGTTATCAAGCTTTCTTGTCCTTGGATTCAGGAGCTACAAAATGCCAGGTGGTAGGGCTTTGACCTGAAACACTAGCAAGTGTCACATGTATGTGGAATGTGTCTGAGGCCTGAACTTGCTTTCCCTGGAAGTTCCACACACTAAGACAAGTAGATTGGGTTAGTATCTCTTTTTCATTGATTAGGATCAGCACTTCATGCAAAATGAAGGCTGTCTTTGACAGAAAAAACTTTGATTCTGCTAAGAAACTTTGAGCAAATTTTAACTACAAGAGCATTTTGTGGATCATGGATCCCTAGTTCTTAATCTAATAACTGCGTTGTGTTCTTATAAATATAACTATTATTTATAATAAGGCTTTATTGAAGACCTAGCATGTGGTGGATACCCAGAAAAATACAGAGATGGGAAAAACAGAGCCTCTCTTGTTAGAAATGTAGGCTCTCCTGGCATCCCCCTCCAAATCCTAATGCTAGTCCATCTCTGGAATGCAATTACCTTTTCTGCAATAAGAGTAGGAGTTCCAATTGGTTGGAAGACATGAGTCCCAGTGGCCACACTAAGGGCCCTGTAGACCCCTTCCATAGGGTCTGGATGGCAAGCAAAATACAGCAGCATCTGTGTGTAGTCAAGCTGGGGTGGATCCTTCTCATAGTCAGCAAATAGCCTAAAGAACAACTGTCACACAAAAAGAATTTCACCAAGGGTAACATGAGTATATTCTGGTAATCAGTAGATGGACAGGCGATGAAGAATCCTTCTAGCACATAAGCATTTATATGGCCCTTATATGGAGACTTGATTGGCTTTCTTGACCAGCTTTTCTCAATCATGTGCATTAATAACCTGCAGAATATTCTTAAAATTCATATTCTGATTAAGTAGATAGTTCTGGAGTTGTCTAAGGTTCTGCACATTTAGCAAACTCCTGAGGGATTTCAACAGCTACTGGTTCTGGTCTACGCTTTAAGAAGGAAGTGCCTAGATTCAGAGATACCACATTATTCTCTATTACCAATAATCGACTCAACTATGAACAATTTAATTAAATATGCATGAAGATAACAGAATAAATTTCTAATATTTGACAAATCCAGTAAAAATGTAAATAAAAAAACTTTGATAGGAAAACGCATAAAATCTATTATGCTATAAAGCAGAAGAGCATCTTAGGGTCAATAGGACATGTAAGTTCATTCATTCAGTCACCCTTTTATCAACATTTATGGAGTGTCTTCTGTGGGCCGGGCACAGAGCTAGGCTGGGATGCTTAAGAACACTATCTGACAGTAAGGCATTGACTGTTTTAGGAGTCATGACCCAGCTGGTGGGTTCCTCCAGGTCCCTGTATCTTCTCCATCTTCCCTCTTACCTTTGAATTACTTTAGGGTTGCCAGCAGGACTAAGAGCAGAAGGGAGCCTGATGCTAACAGATGACCATGACATTGTCCCTGGGTGCTTATCTGTCATTTCTTCCACAAGAACCGGTGAATTTTTGTATTATCTCCATTGAATTTGCTCTTATAAATGCTATGCAGGTGTAACACATCATTACTGCCATTGACAAAGAAACTGAATAGTACAAATTGAGGGGAGATGAGTTAAAATCAAGTTCACATGCAGACTCTGTAATTATACAGGCTTGATTTTAAAGTATTGGATGTTCAAAAAAGGTAAGGCTTGCTATGCTCCTAAGGTCATTTAAGATATTATAGCAGGCAGAATTCTAAAAAGGCTCCAGAGCTCCCCACCTGCTGGCATATGTATTTTGTATAATCCCTTGCCCTTGTGTGAACGTGATGGGAAAGTCATTCCCATGAGTAGGTCACTTTATATAGCAAAGATAAAGGGATTCTGCAAATGTAATTAAGGCCCTTAATCAGTTGATTCTGAGTTAATCAAAAAGGAGCCTGACATTGGGCTTGACCTAATCAGATGAGCCCTTTAATAAAGGGAGAGATCTGAAGCCAGAGGCATACTCTGGCCATGAAGGATCAAACTGTCAAGCTGCAGAGAGGGCTATGTGGTAAGGAACAACAGGTAGCTTCTTGGGGCTGAAGATCTTAATTTTACAACTGCATGGATCTGAATCCTGCCAACAACTTATCTTGGAAGCCAATCTTGGCACCAATCTTGGATGAAATTGTGACCACAGCTGACACCTTGATTTCAGTCTTCTGGGACCCTGAGTGCGGCACCCATCTAAGCCATGTCTGGGCTTCTGACTAACAGAAACCATGAGATAGTAAATGGGTACTGACGAGTACTTATTGAAAACCTATGATGTGCAAGGCATGGACTGTTCTAGGTACTGCAAATGCATTCACGAAGAAAGAGATAAAGCTCCTAACTCCTGAGGAGCTTAATTTCTAGAAGGGGAAGACAGACAATAGAGGATAAATAAAACTAAGTAAATTACATAGTGATTACGGAAACACAGAAAACAAAGTAGGTCAAGAAAAGAAATCGGGAGAGGTAAAGAAGGGGACAGACTATAGAACTGAAAAGGTGAAACGTGAAGAAATATCAGAGGAGGGCAGGAAACTAGCCAGCTCGACGTGTGAGGCAAGAGCGCTGCAGCAGAGGGCGCTGCTGGGGCCGGGGTCTCCAGGCGGGAGCGTGTCTTGCGTGGTTGCAGAATAAGGAGCCAGCCAGCCAGGGTGGCTGAAGCAGAGTGGGACGGGGCCCAGATGCTAGGAGATGAAGGGAGAGAGGGAAAGGCACCAGGGAGTACAAGGCCAGGTTGGCTATTTGAGAACTTTACCTTTTCCTCTGAGTAAAACAGGTCAAGGGAGGGTTTGAGTGGAAGCTTCCACGAGCTGCCTATCATCTGAGCTGAGACAAGGGAGAAGCAGGGAGGCCTATCATGAGCCTATCACCCAGGGGAGTTCTACTGTGGCTTGTTCCAGTGACAACAGTGGGGCTTGGAAGAAGTGGTCAGATCCTGGATGTATTCTGAAATAGAATTACCAGGATTCCCTGGATGAGGTATGAGGTTTGGAAAAAAGTGACAACTGGGGATGACTCTGAGGGTGGGGGCCTGAGCAATGGGAAGGACAGGCAGAGTTGCCACTGACTGAGAGAGAGGGCACTTTGGGTGAAGATGGGAGCAGTGGGGTGGTAGGGATGGGAGATCAGGTGTCCAGTTTTGGACAGGGTGAGTTTACCGTCTACTAGAATAATATTTACATGGAGATGTCAACAGACAGCTGCATGCAAGAGTCTTACATTTGGAAGAAAGGTCTGGGGTGGAAATAGACATTTGAGATTGGTTAGCTAATAGTTATCAATATTTCAAACCATGAGCCTAGAATGAACATTAATAGATTTCACATGGACAGAAGCTGTGGAGAAGAGATTAAGACAAAACCTGTGGACTTGAATATGGCAAAATTCAATTGTCTTTTCTCAGGAAATCCCTAAGGATTTTAAAATATAGGAGCAGTTGCTCTTGTTGAGGTATGGAAAGCTGGGAAGCCAGGACATCACCTGCTGAACCTTGTCAGTCATGAGGAAGTGCTTGGTCACTGTCAGGGGACAACAGTGTGATTGCTACACATACATGTCCTGGAACTCTGAGGTCATCCAGACGCAGGGACAGCACTAATGGCCTGTCTCCAGGAGCCCTTGCTGGGTATGACTCAGAGGTGAGCCCTGGATCATAGAGAGTACAGATGACATGCAGGGAGCTAGGTGGGACCCTAGATTGTAGCTTAAGTCCTCTTCTTAAGAGGATACAGAAATCTTGGGAGTGAAGGAAACTGCTCAAGATTGTACAATGAGTCATGCGAGAAGTGGGGATAGAGCCCAGGGCTCCTGACCCTCACAGTGCCCTCCTTGTGGGGCACTTTCCCCTGATTTGGCCTCCCCTATTCTAATTACAGCCAAAGAAGTAAACTTGTTTTGTTGTTGTACATTTTCTCTTTGCACGCATTTCTTTAACTAACACTTACATACGGCTTCCTATGTGCCAGTCACTCACTCTGCACAACCCCACCAGAGAGGGACTAAAATAAACCCAGGCACAGAGGGTTAGGTAACTCCATTAAAGCTTCAAAGGTTGTAAGCAGTGGAATCCATGCTCTGACTCCCCGCTTAAGAGCGCTGAGATCTATGTATTGCTGAGCGACCAGTCTCCGAGACAGGGAGGGATGGCGAGCACCGTTCTCTTCTGTCCTCTGGCCATCACACCCACAGGCACACCTGTCAGCCATCCGTTGCCCCATACGAATACTTTTTTCTCTGGCTTCACAGTCCTGCCTCTGTCCCCAACTTTGTTTCTTGCCTCCCTGTGATTCTCCAGCAGTTTGGGTACCAGCAGGTGGGAAACACACCCCTCCTTGGTCCCGGAAGGCTTTCCTTCCAGCTCCTGCCTCGCAGCCGCAGGGCTAACGGGCACAGTCGGCCTTCTGGCTTTAGCTGCTGGGTGAGCAACTAAAGGGCTTTGCCCTCGACTGACATTTCTAAAAACTTTTGGCTGGAAAGTGCTTTTCACTTGACATTATCATATTCAGACTGTTGGTTTCTTTCCAAGTAATGAAAACTCTGTTTACATTGTTGACAGATTTGTTCACTAAATCACGTAGAGATGGCCTTCCAAAAGCTTTACAGAACTGACCTTAGTCCTCCAGTTTCACGTTAGAAAACAACCAACAACCAAAACAAAAAGCTGTTCCTACAACTACCAGCCTCATGTCTTGAACTTCTTCCTTGCTCCATTTCTCTTACCTACTCTCCTGCTAGCATCTAGCAGAGGTGCTCAAAAAATATGCATCCAATTGAAGGAATTGCTCACTTTAAGGTTATAACTGGAGTCATGTTCAATTTTGTATACTGCAGTTTTGAAATAATGGTTGGCTGGAAGTTGAACAATCAATATACAGTTTGCTGTGATGTCTAAATCTACCATTCAGCTTTTCTAATATCTTATTGAACTTGGCTATGTTAAGTACATTCTTCTATTTTAAACATTTACACTGAAGTCAGAGTAGTTTTCATATATTAAAGTTCTGTTTTCTTTTGGGGCCTTGGGGATAAAGGGTAGTAGTAGTAATAATAATAATAATAAAATTGATAATATTACTGATACTCATTGATGGGTCATGGGCAATTCTTATGCAAACCCCTGGTATACTGTGAAAGTTAGTCAAGATCAAAGAGAAATGGATGAAAACATATGCCTTAGACTCCTCTTATTTTGTGGCTTCTTCTTCCTTGGTTTCAGTTTTCTGTGGGCAACTGTGGGGTCAGGAAGCAGATGATCTTCCTTCTGAGATGCAGAAGGTAAGTAGCAGCCTAATGCTACATCACAGGGCCTATGTCACTTACCTCACTTCGTCTCATCACAGGCATTTTATTACCACATATCATGCCAAGAAGGGTGAGTACAGCACAATAAGATATTTTGAGAGAGAGAGACCACATTCACATAACTTTTCTTACAGTATATTGCTATAATCATTCTACCTTATTATTAGTTATTACCATTAATATCCTACTGTGCCTAATTTATAAAGCAACATTTACCATATGTGTGTATGTATGTGTAGGACAAAACATAGTATATATATATAGGGTTTGGTACTGTCTGCAATTTCATGCATCCACTGGCGGTGCTGGACTGTATCCCCTGTAGATAACGGGGGACTGCCATATTGGTACAATGACGGTTCTTATCCTAAGCTTTCAGAATTGAAAGGAAGTTTAGAGACAAATGTATTGAGCTTCATCTTAGTTTATTTGGCAGATGAGAAAAGTGAGACCTGGAGAGGTTATGAAAACCATCCCAAATCACATAGAGTTAACAGTGGGACTCTGTCTAAGATTTTGGCCCCTGTCTCCTCCCCTGGAGCTTTTCTATGCTGTTGCCTTAGTGAATATTAAAGTCTGCACTTTGGGGATATAGCCAAGGAACTAGGGGGTGAGGGTGAAGTCTAAAACAAATTATAAATGGAAGAAAAGACAAAGAAATTGATCAGTGTTATAGTACTACATTTTTTAAAGATCTCAGTAGTTACCTCTATAAGGTGCTTCTGCCTATTGAATGGCAGAGGTTCAATAGGATTTTCTGGAATCTTTATATCTTCATCTCCTGTAAACCACAAACCAGCCTACACACAAAATAAAAATGAAAATCATTAAAGTATGATGCTGAGATGTAACTGTTCCTCCAAAAGCCACTGAGATTGACCCTATCTTGCTCAGGTGTCTAGAGCAATAATCTCCAAAACAGGGTGCAGAAGCCCTGGGAATGCAGGAGAAAATATTTCAACTTCTGTCTACTTGTTTTCTGACCTCATTCTTTTGTAATTTGTATTTTAAAAAATTGGATATTGTGTATAATGTATTACTATAGTAGTATACATGTATAATTTATAAATGAAAACCAACAAATTGGAAGTACTAGCTATATTTCAAATGTTGGACTATGTGATGAAGCTTGGAGGTCACTGTCCTGGAGGGGTCTGCACCCATGACTCTAGCTCTCATTCCACACGTCCTGTTCATGTGCCATCTGTTCTCAGAGTCCGGCAGGTGCTGGTGCACATTGTTGGTGCTGGAAAATCTTGGTTGAGTGAGTGACTGACTGACTCAAGAGCTCAATGACCTAATTTTTAATGACACTGCTCTTTCTCCACCCGTCTCAGATACCAGTGACCAAATTCCTTGATTCCCATTTGGCAATGTGTTTTCACCAATTCCTCCCTTCCCTTCCCACTGCTGCCACCTTGGCATAGTGAGCTTCAGTACCTCCCAGCACAGATCACTCCAGTAAGCACAGACCTTTTTTTGGTTCCAGTCTTTCTCTTACTTGTTTCAGCTTGTACCATACAACTATATCAATTGTCTGAAAACTTTAATCTTGTCATATCATTCTTTGCTCAGAACCATTTCCTACTCTCATTCTTTTGCTCACATCATCCCTCCTATCTGAAGTGACTTCCTGTCTACCCATGTAAATTTACATATATTTCCAGACCACATTCAGATGACACCCCCCCAGGGAGGCCCTCCTTGATCTCACCTCTGAACTCCAATTTGTTTATACCACATATTTGCCATTCATGGCTGCTGTTAAACATCAGGTATAAATTTCTTGGTTTCAGACAATGTGTCTAGCAGAGCTTAATTTTTATACATGGTAAGCACTTCATATATATAAGCATTTTGGTCCCAGGTCTTGCTCCCTTACCATCTTCCAGAGTGATAACCTGCTTTCAGCACTCAAGAGCCATTGGCTTGCCTAATCTGATTCTGGTCAGTGTTCTATTCCTTCTTTCCTTCCAAGAATCACCTGTGCTTTCAGAGAAGACTAAAATGGCATTGGGTAGCTTGTAAGGGGCTGCAGCCCCCAGATGTGAGGACTGGGTTTTCTTTTCATTTGTAAAAAAGGAGGGCTGGTGTGGAAGATGCTGGCCTTGTGGAAACCTGGGAGGAAGAAGACTGGGAAAAAGCTTAAGTTCCAGCAGGGGCTCAGGCTTTGACTGTGAATGCTTTTGCACTGACCCTTGTCCAATTGGCTAATTTGTGGAGGGTAAGTTCCACTCTGTGGGAAAATAAAGAGATGAGGAACATAGGTAAGATTTATAGTTTGGGACATGATGGAGCAACAGAGTTAAAAATCACCCTCCTGCCTTAAACAATAACAAAAATGGATATATATAACACATATATGTGACTTCTCAGACAATCAGACAACAGGCAACACTGTATGTAAAAGAAGGATGTAATTACTGAAATAAGGAAAGCATGTGTGGACTCCTACTATTATTCCAGCCTGGAGTTTACAGGCTGCAGTGCCAGGAGAGGCATCTAAATAAAGCCTAGTAGTCTTACTGAGTTCAGAAGACAGATTTTGGAATTGAGGGAGGCCAAGATGGCTAGAATTTTCAGGGCAGAATACTAGAGATGCACTGAGAGAGACAGAGTGAGCCCTAGAGATCTGCAGAGGGATCTCCTCAAGGCTTGACTGAGCCCAACTGTGGATGTGTGCCTGTGGAAAAGACCAGAAGAGGGATTTAAAAAACACAAGAAAGGGGTAAGCTGAGCAATTTCTGAGACTCACACAAGGCTGGGAAAAGATCATGTTGACACCAGGCAGAGTGGAAGGACCTCCTATGCAAGACATTGAGCGGAACTCCCAGGGGGATGCTGCCTCTGTAGTGGGGCCAGGTTAGCCCTACACTAAAAGCTGCTCTGGGCCCACCCTTACATGTCTTAACATAACTTTGAAAAGATAAAGTTGATTCCAAAACATCAGTGCATGCCCAACAATATTTAAAGGTATATACAATTGGGCACCCAACAATATAAAATTCACATCTGACATTCAATATAAAGTTACTAGGTATGCAAAAAAGCCATAATATATGACCCCTAGTCAGAAGAAATACCAATCCCTAGAAACAAACACAAAAATGACACAGATGAGAGAATGAACAGACATGAAATAAATATATTTCACTTGTTCAAGGAGCTAGAGAAAAACAGGCACATAATGAAGAAAGAAAAGATTAAAAAACTCCACAACTTCTAGAGATAAAAAATTATAATATCTGAAGTGGAGAATACACTGCACTGTATTAATTAAAGATTCACTCTGCAGTGGAAATGACTGGTGGACTTGAAGACATGGAAATAGAAATAAATAAAAAATAAAGAAGAGAGAGAAAAAAGATTGGAAAGAATGAACCAATGACCTGTGGAACAATAAGCACATGATTGGATTCTGAGAAGCAGTGGGAGTACAGAAAAAGTATTTGGAAAAATAACCGTGAATATTTTCCAAATTGGACAAAAACTACAAACCCACAGATTGAAGAAGATCAATGAACCCCAAGCAGAAGAAACTTGGAGAAAACCACACTGGGGAACAAAATAACTACACTGCCGAAGACCAATGGTAAAAAAAAGAAAAAAAAAAGAAACAGATCCCTACTCTTCCCATAGTTTCTCAACGAACTCTTAGTCCCATATCCATTGCTTCAAAGCATGGGAATTTTCTCCAATTCTTAATGCCAAGGATTTATTCATATTTGTTTTCTAAAAATACATGATAATTTCATAAATTAGGAAATTGTTTTCAAAGTGTTTCACACACAAGAGGGCCACATTAGAAAGCAAAAACAGCCTGACTGGAAAACAACTTACGCTTTTTAAAATGTCATCCATGAAAATTTTAGCAATGTGAAATGCCAAACGTGAACCTGTACAGTAGGGATAAATTGATATAGCAGAGGTCAGTCAAACATACCCTGCCTCACTGGGTCATTAGGTGAGTCCTCCTTAAAGAGGGAAATGTCCTTTATACTCTTGCTAAAATACAGCCAAAGAATAGTGGGTCTTTTACTTTCCCTTAGAGAGTAAGTGCTGCTGGATTTGGATTCTAGAACATCTGACTCATTAAGCCTTTACTAACATGCATTCTCACTGATAGAAGATTAGTAGAGAGTTCAACATCAAAGAGTTCTACATGAGTGTGACTAGACATCCACGCACAACAGAGGCGAACACGTGACAGCTGCAGCAGGGTGGGGAGCAAAGGGCAAATGGGCTTTAATGTTTGCATTGCTTAGCCGAGGTTTACAGCCCAGCTGACTTCACAGAGCCTGTGTCTTACTCCATTTTAGAAGATGGGGTAATCAGCACACTCTTAAGTGGCTGTTGTGGTGAACTTGCAATTAGTAAAAAAAAGAAAAAAAATTAAATAAAAAGCAGAGTAGAGAGCCCTTTTCTCCCAAAGAAATCCATTTCAGCAATGCAGTTATACTATTCTACTGTTCTAATGTGGCATTGTCAAGAAATCCTACAAAATTTTGATGGAGAAGCGTTTTTGACTTTTCCCATAAGAAAACTATTTTTGGGGTGAGTTGGTGAGTGTTGAAAATCTGTAAGTCATGTAGGATGGTCAAGTGGGTCTCTTCAAATGGCCTTCTTGTCCTGGGGCTCCTGAGGAGTGAGAACTAGGTGAGCATGGGGAGAGTGCAGAGCTCAGAAATCAACTGTTGCCATAACACAGGCAGTGTTCATGTCAGTATTTCTGAGTTTCTATTAAATGTAATTGCCAACTTTCTCCAAGAAATTCACATCTTTGGTAAAGATGCTTTCTGGTTTTGACTCAGCACCTTGGTAAAAATTGCAAACACCCTTTGTTGGTCCCATGTTCATGCAAAACTGGTGTAATATGTGTTAATTGGCACATATTGTAAATAGTGAAGGTTATTAGTTTCATGAGGGCCCACTTTTTAAAATCTTCAACCAATGATGAAAACAGAGTAAGTTTTGATGTGCTGTTTTGCTTTTAGACAAAATCAACTTAACAAGTTATAAGTATGGGACAGTAATAAAATTTATAAACAGCTGTACTTGGAAAGTAAATATAAGAATCCAATCAGCCAAGCATCTGTCTTGCCCAGTCCTGAGGAATCTCCTCAATGTTCAAATATTATTTCCTTTGGCTCAACTGTATAAGTGTGGGAAACTCAGGGCTGTCTGAAAGCAGGCCATCCATTAATTGGGGATGAAAAGAGAAGCAGGAAGGGATGTCTTCTTTCAAAGTTGAAATATATATGAGATACAGACACTTAGAGAGTATCGCCAATTTCAAAATTAGCACCTTTATAAATGTTTCCCTCTTTTGTGTCTATGAGCAGTGTGAACAGAGAGCAATAGGCTGAACTCAAATAGTAGACACAAAATAAATAAAACAGGACCCTCTTAGTTATGGAATTTCATTCTCACTCTTTCCTTGCTCAAATTTCTCAAAAATGAATTGACTTTTCTTCTTATCTTCACTTCCTCAAGACCTTTTCATTTCATCTGTCCTCTGCAATCGGGGATTCTGTACTCCACCAAAATTGCTTGGTAAATGTCATCAACTATATCCTAGCTGTTAAATCCAGTAGTCAAGTATCATGTTACTGGATTACCCATCACTTTTCATGCCCCTTTGGGGATCTTACCCATTCATAAAGTCTCCAACTGCCTACATGAAAATGACTTGCAATTCCTTCTGCATCTGCCATACCAGATTGGACATTTTTTGTCTGCAATTCTCCACACTCATTTCAAACTCAACTTGTCAAAAACCATCTCATTAGTCATCAAGCCAAATGAAAAATAAAAAAACCCTCTCCCTTCTCCAGTGTTCATTGATTTCCCTGTGTGGCACTGTTATGCTACTCTCAGAGCTTTGGCTTATTGGGCATTGGGCTAATTAAAAGCTGGGCAGGTGATTCTGATGTACCACCAAGGTTAAGAAGCACTGTGTTGGAGCTCACAGAAGAGCAGTGAAGTCTAGGTGACTACTTTCAGAGTACCTAGTTCTCTAAGCAGGTCTGACTCTGTGAGATCCCTTCCCTGTGGGCAGAAGCCAGGCTTCTGCTCGGGACTCTGGCAGTGCCTGTGCTGGGTGCCTACACTCAGGCAGCCAAAGGACAGAACACTGGCCTGCGACAGGGCACTGAGACCTCAGTGAGTGGCACTTAAGTCAAAAGTTCTTTGCATTACTACTGCCACCACATGCTGGTAGCAACCTGCATATACTGCTTGAAGGTGACGGTGCCCAGCTGCTCCCCATCCACAGCCCTGAACCTCTGCAGCGTCTCCAGGAGCTCCTCCTCCGAGGGCACAGGCCAAGGCAGAGAGATGACTAACAGGAATTTCCGCCAGTCCACAAACTCCGAGTTTACTGTTAATAAAGATGTTAACTCCTGTAACTAGAAGAAAACAGGAAATGCCACTGGAATATTTGTATGACTCTGTCTTGAAGCTCTACATCGCATGTTTCTTAGTAAGAGACTCAGTTGAAGGAAGGAGGCTTTTATATCAGTAAATAGAGCCAATTCTGGCTTTTGTTCCTCAGGGTCTGCCAACCAGTCCACACCAGACAGTACCTGTTTCAATTTTTTGCTTGACATTTGTGTTTCTTGCTTACTGTTATACATCAAATTTATACATGTGGCTTTTCAACAGAAGAGAGCTAAAGATTACAGAAGAGGCTGTGCCTGTAAAAAAAATACTCTCCCCATTTTGTTTACTGATGCATTCTCAAACAAGAGATTGTGATGAAAAGCAAAACTGCCAGAATTATTCACTGGCACTAGTTAGGATCATTCCATCTGGTAGTAACAGACACAAACTCATGGGCTGAGTCTTATGGTCTCTATAATGTTTCACTGACTGTTAGCATCATCATTCACTCAGTTTTCAAATGCTGAGCATGTACATACTATGTCTTAAGTTCAAGTTTATTCATTTGTTCATTCAAGCTTTATTGATTGCCTACTAAATGTCAGATACTGTGCAAGTACCGGTTATTTTTAAACTACTGACTTATTGATCAAATAAGAAGTATCAAAGCTCTGAAAACCAAACAAAATTGAAGCTTACTTCAGGTTGAGTGAGGTGCATCCAGCTACTAGGAAAGTTGTTTGTTCCAAGGTCTAGGGTTACCAAATCAAGCAGAATGTCAGTAAAGGCTTTATTTCCTATCATACCTACAACACAATGAAAAATATTATTTCAGTTTATCATATGACAGGGAATTTGTTTCTTTTGCTAAAATAGAATAATGGGTAGTTGTGTCATCACTTTCTTCATATTATTTAAAACTGTAACTTTTAGAGAAACAGAAGACATTTGAAAACATAAAAATAATACATTTCCTGATGTGCTCCCATTATTATTTCTCAGGTAAGTCAAAATGTCTTTTTTGGCTACGTAATAAATCATTCCAGATTGGGCAAAATATTGGGAGTGTATACTTTCATTTGGAATCTTCTTTGATTTTTTATTCAGAATATGTTGAATTTTTTTAAAGAATACTCTAAAGTTTCCTATATACAGTAGAGCACAAGAGAAAAATATTTTGGTGAGTATGGGATAAATGTGTTTCAAATGCCTACAAACCACCACTGGGATCAAGGCAACACATTTATCCTTATTTTGTTCAGAATATATTTATTTTTGTAAATGCAGGGAGATTTCAATTGATAAAACACTGGGTTAGACATGCTAATTTAATCATCTAATTTGCTCAGTATTTCAGAGTATTTCACAGAGGATCACTAACCTTTTAAATGTTTTGCTCTTACACACTAATCTACACTGTCCAAAAGAGATGTCTGTTTTGTCTGTTTCTCATTTCAAATTGCATGCACATGCATTAAAAAATAAATAGGAAAACAAAGTAAATGAGCCTGCTTGCAGAACTATCTGTCTAACCTCCAAGACAGAGGTAGCTTCTAGAGCCAGGAGAGACTCCTACATGTATTCGGGTCTTTCAGGCCCAAAGTATATAGCTATTCTTCTTTGTTTAGGAATAAAACCAGTGAAACACAGATGTAGCATCTCAAATTTTTCTTTTTTACCTCTAAATATTTAGCATTTATAAAAGCCCAACATAAATTTTATCATTTTCTCTAACCTTTAGGAAAATGCAACAATCCTTTAGAAATTTCAGTGGTTCAAACCAAATATATACAGTCTTGAGATCTGGAAGTTAATCTTCTGGGTAGCAAGAGCAGCAGACTCTTTCTTTCTTTGATACGATTGGCCATCCAGCAGGTTGTTCAGATAAATTCTCTCTCCTTCTCGATCAAACCTGAGTATCCAGTTTTATGGAGATGAGAACATTTTCCCAGGTAGTAGAATTTTTAGTCCAACGAGATTTATGTGATACCATATTAGTTTTCAGGGAAGTTAGAAATAAATCATTCATGATTCTCAGGATGAAACCATGAATAATACTTTCAGCTTACATATAAATTGTTTATCTGGTGAACTCAGTGTAAAATGTGAAAAACATTTTAAATTTGATTTGTTACTTCAACGGCCAAGGCATGTAGTAATATGATCTTCACATATAATGAAGATAAACAGATGAACTTATACAAATTTTATTCACGGGCCAAAAGAAACCCTCTTTCAATTTGGCCTTAAGTTAGTTATCTGATCCAACAGTCATTTAGAATTTCCAGGAAAAATAGTTAAACATATGCTGGGCCTGAAGGAACTCAGACCATAATCATAGTCTGGACTTAGCAATAACTCTCAGAAAGATGACATCAAAATAACACCATTGCTTAGAAGTATCCACCTCCACCCAAAGAATGTGAAAGTATGTGTGAATACAGTAGACTTAGAAAGTTACAGGAACACCAATTTTTGGATTTTTGCTTTGTATGTTTGGGAGATACCAAATGCCTTTTGTGTTTGATGTGAAGACTGGTTATTGTTTACTTTTAAATTTCAGCTTTTTTGAAAACAATTTCTTTTGCTATGATCAATGACAAAGCCAACGTTTGTCACATTACCAATCACTTTCACAGTGGCTTTCTGAGTTTGATGAGCAATCTGAATTAGGTCTTGTGTCACCAGTTGAAGACAGTGTCCTTGTATTCCATAAATGGATAGCTCTCCTAGGGTCAAAATTATTAATGTCTGGAGAATTCAACTGAATTATCAGGACATCTGTCATGCTTTCAGCCTTGATCTTGGCATGCATTTGTGACTTGGTGCGTTCCATCTGACTAAAGCCACGTTCTGCCTCAGCTGAACTTGCAGGGAGGGTCAACACTAGGTCCACTAGTGTCAGGATATTTGGATATTTGTGTAAGTAAACAGAATTCACAAAATCCCAGGTCAATTTGCGGATGTTCTGAAATCTAGGAGGAAGAATGAAAAACGTGAAAGATCGAGACTACCAAGTTATTTATATTTTATAAATATCAACTGGCTTAATTATGCTTACCTAGCATAAATCTCCAATTTCAACATGCTCCATTCAGTGTCTACTTCCTCAATTCTTACATTGGCAGCTTCCAGTACTGGTTCATAATGTGCAGCCAGGATGGATACCTCTTTTTCTCCAAATTCTATAATCAGTATACAAGAGAAAATGTCACATAAATTAAAGAAATTCATACAGGCAATTAAAGAACAAGAGGCTCTGAGTCAGCGCATACAGGTTACCTTGATTTATCTTTGCAGGCCACAATTTAAAGCTTCCAATTGTGGTAGCCTTCACCACATCTTCACTGGCGTCTTTGAAACAGCTTTTCAGCTTCTTGATAAGAAGTGTTAAAATCATGTTTCTCACATCAGAAATGTTTCCCTTTCCTCCCAGGCAGTAACCATGAAAGTGTGTGACTGAATCCACCCTACGTTCTTTTGGCCCTGGTCTGGAGAGAAAAATAAAACCAAATAAACAATTATTGAAACAGCACTGTGTGAGTAATTTCCCAAGTCAAACTGTCTAGTTTGACAGTCCTCAGATTATCCCGGATTCCTCACCGTGTTTGATATATCTTGAGCATTTCCAGTGTGGACTCCAAGGTGGCAAATATGTCAGCAATTGAAGAATTTCTGTTCTGATTGACACGGGAAAGAATGCTAAGGATATTAATGACATCCACTAAAAAATGGATAAATTTAACAATGTCTGCTTGGAGAAGGAACTCTAGAAGGTCTTTGGCTTTCTGATGATTGGTGTCACTTCTGCCTTCATCTGCCTGTAACATAGGTGGAAATAAAATACTGGTTTATCTTTCTCAAAATTATTATTTAAAATTTCTCAATAAAATTCTGTTCTGTCATTCTGAAAACTTTAAATTGTATGGTATTTCAAAACTACTTACTGAATGCAGCTGCTGGACAATTGCAGGATATCCCTTGAGAAAGTTCTGAAGGGCTGCCTGTAAGCCCAGAAGCCACCTCCTGCCTCCTATGTGAGAAGGCATCACAGGTCGAAGGTGAAGGCCTTTGAAAGCAGTTATCAGAGAACTCTTATGAAGAGGAGAATTGTGATAGAAGTGATAGATGCTGTGAAGAAGGTCACTGACATCATTGTACATGGGAATGCTCTGGAACACCGTCTTGTAGGATAGCTCAAGATGATGTGCAAAGCAATATACAGGCAGCACACGTGGCTGGATTTCTCTTAAAAGCAGGGCCACCCCGTTGGTTTCTCCTGTTGAGCCAGAGGCACCATCACTTCCAAAACCAACCAGTTTGTTTGCCCAATTTTGGTTTGACAGACTCAGTTGAAGATTTCTCTCTAGAGTTTTCTCAATGGCACTTTTTATTGCCAGAGAATCCTTCTTTTCTATTGTTTGTACCCCAACAATTTGACAATGCACTTTCCCTGCCTGTGCAAACTGCACATAGACAAGTTCAGCTTCCTTAGTTGAACTGTCTGTGATTCCATCGCTGATTACAGAGAAAAATTTACTCTGTTCTAGTTTCTCTCTTAGATTTCTCCGTTCAACTTCAGCAATGAAATATGTAAATATCCTTGCTGATCTGTTAGTTCTGAATACTGGGCCAATATCAATACCTTTCATATCATCCAACTTGCACATCCAGATAAAATCGCTGAGGGGACGTCCAGTCTTCGCAATAGCATGGCATGATCTGAATAAGTTCTCTACTCTCCCGAAGGTCACCTTGCTCATGGTCCTCATCATCAGCTGTGTGGTGGCTCTGTTCACCGGAGAACCACTTGTTGCCTCCATTAATGAGGCCTTGGCATGAGCCTCACTGAGATGATGTGCACTGAGGAATTCAGTCCTGAAGTTGTCAGTGCCGTAACAAAAACTCACTTGGTTCCCCTTTGACTTTACTCCATGCTTGCGACACAGGCCACAGAACATAAGGTTTAGTATCTCATCGTATACAAGCCAAGGGTATTTTTTTAGCCAAATTTTCAAAAATTGATTGCTCCTCTTTGGAAAGTAATGGTCAATTTCCTGTAGCTTTTTCTGCTTTTTGGTGACTGGATTCACATCATCTGGAGGATTCCTGGCTTTAAAGTAACTCCATGTTGTTATTTTAAGTAATCGCCAATGTCTACCTTCAATTGTGCTTAATCTCTGCCTACCCCTTGCCCCCTACATTTGCTCATTATTTCAGAAAAAATTATAGCGAGTGCTTACTACTTATCAGGCATTCCTTTTCCGTGGCAACAAAAAAGAGCAACAGGAAGCACATGGCTGTGTGTCTGTGAGGTCTGCCTTGCCCATCTGGCCCATCCTGCCTTGGTCCTGCCTGCTCTCGCAGCGCTAGAGCTGACTTGGTCATTCACAAGGGCTTTAGGCTCTGAGACCATCCTAGCTGGATTTGGAAAGGAGATGTGCCTCATGTCTCACCTTTTTATTTTCCCTTACGGTCTAATTTTTGACACATATTTTTTGGAAAGGGGAATATATATTTACCTGGATAGACAAAAAACTTTAAATTACACAAAACAATGTCATAAAATACCAGTTTTTCTCTGAAGGCAGAAAGCCCAGACTACATATCTATTACCTACAACTTCTGACTCTAGATCATTAGATGAAATAGTCCATTTTTTTTGTATAATGAAAGAAATGGAATATGTGTGTGATATTATGCTGAAATACCTCATGTTGACATGCATACCCAATGTTTTGTTTTGTTTCACTGCTTTACTATCCTAGTTTGACTCCTCAACTACATTTTTTTATTAAAGTATCAT